AGCCAGCAAAGGCACAGTTGGCCAGGGCCAGGAGAAGGCAGGTGCGAAACTGAGTAAAATAAGGTAGCACCTTCGTATATCTCAATGTACCGGGTATACCAATAATATTACCGAAAAAAAAACCAAGCTTAGTGAACTGCCGCTATGCAATAGCAACATCTTGTTTACATGACTTACATGATTTAGAAATTCCTAAAAGTGTCAATGTTGAGAAAACGAAACATGCTTAGTAACAATCAGTGGATGGTTTATTTCATTTGAGGTGTTTGACCCCTATGAAATGCGTTATAAGTGGTCAAATTTATGGGCCTCATTTGCAAAAAGTCGAGGTTTCAGGTGACTTTGAATTCGTTTGCGCAAATGTGCTGTTCCACAGGCCTGTGGTGATTGTAAATTAATGGCCTGATTTCGACATGAAAGACAAACTTACCGGTCGTGAAAGGACGGTTGGTGAAATATACATGCATTATATACTTTATATTAGGCAGGCTTATGGAAAATGAATCTACATAACACAGAGAATGCTTCACCCTTAAATATAGTTTTTTCACACATAAAAAAAAACATAGCAGATCTTTGGGCAACCTACCAAGAACCATTATTTGCAAGTTTCGGTTATAACGGAGTGCCTGAGGAGTAAAATAATGATTTAGAGCTATTCATTCGAGAACCTTTCTTTTGTACCTTTGAAGAATTGTAGTCAATGTTTAGGACCCGTATAGTACTGCCGGACAAGCCGAGATTCTTACCACGACTAGAGTGTTGTGCAGTTACCGAAGCAAAGAAACTGGTGCTTCCTCTCGGCAGTTATTGTCTTTATATAGTAGATGGGTGATCTCCGCCATTCTGTCTCTTTTTAGTTGAATCAAAATTCAGAGTTTGACAAGCAACGAGGCCAGTTATTCTGGACATGTATGCGTATCTAGTTTTCTGTCTTTATCTCAAGCAAAGCAGCTGCTTGTTCTATTGCTATTTCGCACATTCCTGGCCATGAACGCACCGTTATATGACCTACCGTAAGCCACGTGCCGTGAACACCGTGATCTCTGGTTGCTGATCTCGCTGAAGCTCAAAACAGTATGAACTTCTTTTGGGTGTTGACTATTCTCAGCAAACCAAACGCGACGGCATCTAGGTGACGCCGAAAGTTCCAGCTTTTTTTTCATGCGCTTTTATGAGCGTGGTGCCATGCATGGTCTTCGTTCATTGCTAGTGGTGCGTATATAGCACATAGATAGTCATGACTTTATGTTAAGCCATGGATAGATGAGATGTGGGGCTAGCGTTACCTAATGATTTACTTGTATAAAACTTACTCGTAGTGGTAACGGTACACTGAAATGGTTCTGACTTGGGCCTCTTTGTGTTCCTCAGAAAAAGTATTGTTTGACAAAAAAGCTATGTGGCAATTAGGATACAGCCTAAAAGAATTTCCGGTGAACTACTTGCGCCAATTTTCTCGTTATTAGAAACTTTTCTTATTCAACTTTGTAAGAAGGCTCACTGAAGGACTCAAAAACAAGCTGTACCAGCTGACACTTGTGGACCAGTGAAACTCTAAACTCAATCACGAAGAAAAAAATTATGTACACGCAACACTAATTCCCTACGAAATAATTTTATTTCCAGTTTGAGTTGTCTCTGCACTCAAACTATTAGACCTTGGCCACAGCATAGTAAGGCTCACAAAAAAATGATTCAAAATAACCGAATTATAAATAGATGATGACAGCAGCAGGCTGTCGCAAGTGGTGGATCGAGAAAATTCATAAGTGAAAGCTTACTTCCGTTCAGCGTAATAAAAATATTTTCTGGCCAGTTCCACGCCGTCCCAATCGTAATAATTTATGGGCAGGTCCTAAGATTCACCTTCGTCCATTTACGCCTTTTGGTGTTTGTCTCAGTCAAAGTGGCAAATTCGTGCACATGCACCAGTTGAAATGGCCACTGAATCTTCCGAAGCCCGCGTTCATTGGCGTTTCGCTTCCACTTTTCTTTAACCTAAATGCCTGACGACACGTACCCGTCTCAGCGCGTCAGCGCGTAGGATTTTGACGCGGCACCGCGCCCTCTCCTTGTAGAAAGAGAGGACGCGCAGCTACGCGAACTTGCGGGCCTTCCAGAGACGACGCGACGCCGCGTCACTATGCCACGCGCCGACGTGCTACGACGCGTACGTGTGGTCAGGCCTTCATTCTGCGAGCAACTTCTGACGCAGGCAATTCGGTATTGTTTAGCTGGTTCTGGCAGGCTAATGGACAATTTTCGCGCACGCCATCTGCGCTTGCGCACCGTAAATGCTTCAACAGTGCCACTCCGAAACATTATTGGTGCCTCGTGGTCTCCGAAACCTGTCGGTGGATAATCTCGGAGGCAATTGGTGCAAAGGAACGCACAAGCTACCACACTGTCGCATTGACCGCAAAGCCACCAAATTTGCTTTTGGGTCTCAAAGCAAAATGGAGCTGTGGAGCTAAGTGGAGGAAACCAGGCCGCAGCTGCCGCCTAGTTTCCTCATGCCGCTTGGCGCCACCGCCAAAATGTTGGCGGTGGCGCCAAGCCGTGCCACTTTTATGGCGGTGGTGGTGGGCACGCCACCACTGCCAAAAAGCGGCACGGCGCCGGCGCGCCACAATTCTTCGTTTTATAAATGTGTATCATGGCGCCATGGCGAATGCGCTAGCCCCACGCGGTAAAGTCGCACAACGCCGTACAAAGCTAAAGGCTCTGGCCACCGCGGCCGACCCCAAAGTGTTCTCTGTCGTCCCCACTCTTACGAAAATGACAGAAGTCCGCGAGTGTTTTCACGTCAAAGCATCCTCGGTGATCAGCAAGCGCACTGCTGATGCAGATTGAGAAGGCCATAGTTTATACGTAAAATTCATACCATAAAACCAAGATTAGAATCTGGAGCAAGTGTCTACGCGAGTAGAAATACTTGTTGGGCTTGTTTGTAGATATTTGCAAAAAATTAGTTTGAGCGCCAACACACACACACACACACACACGCACACACACACACACACACAAACACATACACAGCGCAGTGCATGTTTGATGCCTAGGTGTGTGTGTGCGTGAATGTGTCGTGTGTTTGCGCTCAAATTAATTTTTTGAAATGTCTACGTGGCGCACCCGAGGCTGATTGAGCAGCGCTTCGACTGCCATAGCTTGGAATTGAGAAACCCAGACTCAAAAAAAAACACATGACGACCACAAACCCCAGCGTGTTTGATTGTCTCATTTGTCTTTTTGTGTATGTGTTTTATGAACGCTGGGTTTCTAGATTCCAATCTATGTACCAACAGGCTAGACACCAGACTTTTCAACCACAATGAGATTGATGGAAAGTATCTGCTTAAGGTGGATTTCATTTTTGGCATTCGCAGCACTCGTTTACCGAGAATAAAACCAAGTGGCATTAACTTGTTCTCAATGAAATTCGCTTAATTTTTCGTAATATAAGGCTGATTCTAGGAGCGCAGTGGCACTTCGATATTGACCGAAAACCGGGACAAATTCAAATGAACTGGGGTATTATACCCGGCTAAGTATTCTTCGTGAGATCTGAAGTTAGCAAATAACAAAAAAATTAATTGTAAAAATGAACATGCGTTTTCAATTCTGAATATCCATAATCCATTTATTAAAATAAAAATTTTGTTTAAAAGAGTTAATAGTAAACACAATTTTTATACCAACGGCAGGCACGTGTACTCATGCGCAGAAAGATCGTCACAGCAGTGGTTCGTATACAACGTATTCCTCACTCCACTGTAAAGACCATTCAGTGGAGAGCAGAAGAGATTTTTTTAACGCCGGGAGGTTCAGCGGATCATTGAGACGCGTTCACGTAGCTTCGTCGTCGTTTTGCAGCCACGTTGAGTGTGTCTAGGAATGACGTAATTACACAGACAATGAAGTGAAACCTATGCTGTTGCCTTGGTAAATTTCGAATTACATAAGAATAGGGATCAGTACGTGAAGGACACTTTGCCAGAACTATCGAATACCAACCGTAAATGTGCATTGCTGCCAAAACCAGGAAAGCTAGCAAGCTCCCGCCACTCTCGAGAACATGACGTACCTTGCACCGCTTCCCAACGCACACTTATACGCCCGCCTGTGAACACTGTGGGCTGGGTAAAGCTGCTTCGCGCAGAACTAAATCGAAACGGACAACATTCGTAAGCAGTTCGCTAAATAACGCAATTCGATCCTATCTGTGTACTTCTAATCATTCCCACAACAGTTGAACGACGATGCCACCTGATTTTCCTCAAGATTACATTACGAATCTGTATGAGCTTCAGCAAGCGACAGGAGCAAGAAAAAATCACCGCCCATGCACACTGCGTACAAATGGTTAACCAGCGAAAACTGAAACGTGTGATTCTGGCGTTCAGCAGCGGGTTGAACCCGACGCTGAACTGAAGCCTTTCGCAGTTATTGGTCACATGTTCGTTCTTCATAATGACAATAGACACACGTTTCACTTGGTCTACTACAGTGTTTATTTCACATGATTCCCATTGTGCCTCACATGAACACGTTCATGGAATAGTGTATTTAGCGGTTAAATGGTTCCACATTACGTTAATTGCATCAGTTGTTCTCGAACCACGGCGTTGTGGAGGGGTCGAGATTTTTATATTTATTTATTTATCGTAGTAAGTGCTATATTCTCATATCATGATATTCTTTAAACGACATTGTTTTCCTGCTGCTTCTATAGGAGTCTTTCATCACTTGCTCAGACATATATATATATATCTCTTGTACACACTCTTTACTCCCTTGGCGGCTAATAATGACAATAAATAAGTGCACACCTAATAAAAACGAACCAAGTGCATTTTTAAGAAGTTTAGAGGCAAATTCCGCAACGAAAATAATACCATTTTGATAATGAAGTACTAATATAATAGCAGCTTAAAAACAAGTTCATTCCTAATAGTGCGAAAATGTCTTCACTTGGAGTGAAATAGGACACAAGATGATTGTTCTGCCTCAGCTGTTGCTTTATTTAAAATGCCAATTTCAAGGGTGTTGGTCTTCTAGGGGCAGCTGTAGGTCTTTCTCGATGTCTTGTTTAGTTCCTGAAATGGATTATTAAACAAAAGTAAGAAAGGTGTCTCTCAAAGAACACAGAAGAAGTAGGCAAACCTAAAAAATCAGGCTTTCCAACAACCTAGTAATTTGCGTCAGCTAGGTGTAAGCTCATTCCATCGTCGAATAATGAAGATTGACAAGTGTCAACAAACTATTCGAAATTTCACATAGTTTGCTGTAATGAAATTTACCACCATGTTTTGTCACCTGAAACCTACCTTTTTCTATGTTTCAGATTTATGAGAAAATCAGAACAGTGATAACTGCAGCAGCACTTCACAACTTCAGAAATACCAGCATAGGATTGATAATTTGCTAATGTATATTAACACCCAACAAACATCCAGCAATTATTAACATTCCACATTCAAGGTAAATTTATACGTTTGTTCACTTTCTTCATGCAAGTAGACACCACGAAACTTGCAAAAGGGCAATAAAATAATATTGTGATTACAATGTTGAAAAAAAGACTTTACTGCTATACTTACATTTTCTCTTGCGGAGGAGAAGGTTGGAATAGTGAAAAGGAGAGCCGAGGCCATAACCATAGTTGAGGCCGTAAGCGCCTAGGCCGTATCCGTAGCCATAGTGTCCTAGGCCAGAGCCGAGAGCTCCGACATCGTATCCGTAGACCGGAGCAGGGCCAGCCACTAGTTGAGCAGCGTGGTATGCAGGAAAAGGGGGCACGGCGTGAGTAACCGCAGCAATCACTGCAACGGCTGGAGCTGAAGCCAACACTGGGGCTGCGGCCACAGTGGCAACCGTTGGAGTAGCCTGGTAGGTGTCGACGTGGGTCACGGTTGGAGCAGCAGCGTGAGCGGTCGCAACCTTGGTGACGGCAGGCGTAGCAGCTACGACAGGGGCGGCATGATACGTAGTATCTACCCTGGTAACAGCAGGCGTAGCGTGGACCGTGGCTACCTTGGGAACGGCTGGACCAGCCTCGACTGTCGTCACCTTAGTGACCACTGGAGCCGCGTGGTAAGTGTCCACATTGGTGACAGTGGAGGTCGGGCCGGCAGCAGCGGATGGAGCTGCGGCAACGCTGGTAACAACTGGGGCAGCGTGGTAGGTGTCCACTTTAGTGACGGTTGCCGCTGGGGCGGCGGCAACAGTGGCAACCGCTGGAGCTGCATGGTACGTCACGGCTGGAGCGGCTGCAACTACCGGGGTGAAGGCTGGGGCTGTCAGGTAGGGGAGAGTGGCTGGAGCGGCTACGTATCCGAACCCAAGACCTGCTGGGACGACTGGATGACCCAGAGCCCCGGCAACAAGGGCCAAGATGAGGCTGGTATAAAACTGGATAGAGGATAGTAACATAGGCTTGAACCATCAAAGTTCTCTTGAACATGAAACAATGAGAGCCTGTTTAGGCACGCTGTGCGAGTAAACATGTCTGAAAATGTAATTAACATTTCAGATTCTGCACTTGACACAAGGTGCGTTCAATAGCAGAAACGACTTCATATTCTCCAGAACTTACCGAATGATTTGTCCTGAGTGAAAATAAATGAAAATTTGTTAAATTGAGCCCTGCCTTCCCTGAATTCCAGTGAAATTCAAACGTTGGGACACACAGGAAAGCACGTCCCATCTTCTAAAATATTTTCATACTACACTAATTGCCATGATGAAAATTGTTACAAGATTTACCACAAGATCCAAATCCATTTATCTGAAGCGTTTAATATAAAACATTGATACTTACGGCAACCATTGCTGCTGGTAGCTGCAGTCCTGGGAAGGAGAAATTGTACTCCTGAAGTTTCCATATATCTACAGGCTTTTATACAGGTCCAACTGACTATGCTCACATTAGAGCGTTAAGAAACAACCATCAAGATACTGCAGCATTTATGCAATCAAGGTTAAAAAAGAGTTGTTTACTTCACCGTCAGAATTCTCTTTCGCGATAGTTAGGTATCGCGAAAGGTATCGCAATACTCTTGGCAAATGAAGAGAAAAAAAATCAGTGGAGTGCGAAGTTATGTCGAAACTAGTAATCTTCCCCAAGAACGTGCCCGCACTAAAAATTGAGTGGAGCAGCGAGACACCGTTTCACAGTTAAAAGCAGCGTTATTTTCATTAGGTTCATAAGTGAAAATATCTTCTTACTCAAGCACCGCACACGTATTGCCATTATATACGCTTCCAGAAAAATACTATTTTAGAATCTAGCGCTTTTGGTAAATTCAGCGTTTTGAAAGAAGTCTCACTTGCATGTGGAAATGTGCCTAGTTTTTATGGTGTACCATCATTGCACTACTGGTTATTTACGTCACACTCCTTATGGGGGTAAATACACTTATCAATGCCTGAAGTAATAACGATGATTCTTTCAGTAACAGAAAACGCCGCCGGGTTAACCTAACCAACGATAAGGAAACCACGTGTCAATTAGCACTTTTATTGCACTTCATGACCCTATTTTTACTTTAATATATATAGATTCAGTCTTAGTTCTCTTTTATGTTGGTTTGTTCACACTTATGTAACTTGACTCATTATTTATTCGCTGATGATTCAAGCTAACTTGATACATAGCTTCCTTACCTCCACATTAACTGGAATCATTTGGCATACGTTGCTTGACAGTTGATTCAATTTGCGGCACTTAGATTCATACCTAAATTGCTCGAAATATTCGTGAATTCGACTATCTTCATTTCATTTACTTTTCAATCAAAATCAAGCACCTTCATTCACTCTTCATTCATGCCCAATTTTCTTGAGTCAGCCTTTGCTAACACCTAACTCATTTGACTAGAAAACTTCATGAATGAAACAGACAGTTACGCGAAGGATATGATAGGGGACATTATTTGTTATTCTTGCTGCAGTATAGTCATTATCATCATAATCAGCTTGACTACGTCCACTGTAGGACACAGTTCTCTCCCATGTTCCGCCAGTTAACCCGGTCCTGTGCTTGCTGCTGCCATAGTATACCCGCAAACTTCTTTATCTCACCTGCCCACCTAAACTTATGTCTCCACCTAATCCACTTGACTTCTCTGGGAATCCAGTTAGTTACCCTTAATAACCAGCCGTTATCCTCTCTACGTGCTACATGCCCAACCCATGTCCATTTCCTTTTCTTGATTTCAACGATGATATCCTTAACCCTGTTTGTACACTAATCCAATCTGCTCTCTTCTTGTCTCTTAAGGTTCCACCTACCATTTTTCTTTCTATTGCTCGCTGCGTCGTCCTCAATTTAAGCTGAAACCTCTTTGTAAGTCTCCAGGTTTCTGCTCCGTAGCTAGACACCACGGCAAGACACAGCTGTTATATACCTTCCGCTTGAGGGATAGTGGGAATATACTTTTCAAGTTTGAGAATGCTTGCAAAATGTGCTCTACCCCATTCTTATTCTTTTTGTTACTTCAATTTTGTGGTTCGGCTCCGCGGTTATTACCTGCGCTAAGTAGACATAGTCTTTTGCAACTTGAAGTACACTATTACTTATCTCGAAGCGTTGCTCTCTTCCGAGGTTGTTCTACATAACTTTCGTTTTCCGCAGATTAATTTTAAGACCCACCTTTCTGCTCTCCTTGTCTAAGTCCGTGATCATGAGTTGCAATTCGTCCCCTGAGTTACTCAGCAATGCAATGTCATCGGTGAAGCGCAGATTACTAGGGTACTCTACATTAACTCTTATTCCTAGCTGTTCCCATTCTAGGCTTCTGAAAACCTCCTGTAAGCACGCGGTAAATAGCATTGGGGAGATTGTGTCCCCCGCCCTACACCATTCTTGATTGGTATTCTGTTGCTTTCTTTATGAAGTATTATGGTAGCAGTTGATCCCCTGTAGATTTCTTGCAGGGTGTTTTTATATACTCCATGGACGCCCTGATTCCACAGTGTCTGCCTGACGGCTGATATTTCTACTGAATCAAACGCCTTCTCGTAATCTATGAAGGCCTCTTCGAAATTCTGCTTGTTCCTTTGGTTGATTGAATTCTAATGTTTTCTCTACTCTGTTAGCAATTACCTGTGTAAATAGCTTGTATACTACAGAGAGCAAGCTGATCGGCCTGTAATTCTTGAAGTCCTTGTCATCGCATTTATTATGTGTTAAGATGACGCCAGCATTCTTCCAAAACTATGGTACTCTTCCCGTCAGGAGACACCTCGTAAACAGGGTGGCTGGTTTTTCAAACACAATCTGTTCTTTATCTTTCAGCAGATCTGATGTTACCTGATCCTTACCAGCAGCTTTGCCACTTTGCATGCTCTCAAAAGCTTTTCTCATTTCTTCTATCATTACTAGAGGTGTGTCATCTGGGTTACTGCTAGTTCTTATAGTATTAAGGTCATGGTTGCCCCGGATACTGTACAGATCTCTGTAAAACTCCTCCGCTATTTTAACAATCCTATCCATATTCGGCCTTCTTTGTCCCTAAGTCCATACATCCGATTTCACCTATCTCAAGTTTCTTCTTCACTGCTTTGACGCTTCCTCCGTTTTTCAGAGGGTGTTTAATTCTCTCCATGTTATACCTTACACATAGCATACTTTACGCCTTTTAATCAACTTCGAAAACTCTGCTGGTTCTATTATGTCTGTTGTACTTGAGACTTTCATGATTTGACGCTTCTTAATGAGATTCTTCGTTTCCTGGGAAAGCTTGCCAGTGTCCTGTCTAACTACCCTGCCTCAAACATCCACTGCACACTCCGTAATGATACTCGTCAGATAATCATTCATTGTATCTACGCTGAGGTTGGTTTCCTCACTAAGAGCCGAGTACCTGTTTTGAAGCAAGACTCTGAATTCCTGTACTTTCCCTCTCAGTGCTAACCCATTGATTAGCTTCTTGCGTATCAGTTTCTATGGTTCCTTCTTCAAGTGTAAACGAATTCGAGACCGTACCGTACTATGGTCACTGCATCGTACCTCGCCAACCACTTCCACATTCTGCACGATGCCTGGGTGTGCACTCATTATAAAGTCTATTTCGTTTGTATTTTCTCCATTAGGGCTCCTCCATGTCCACTTGCGGTTTCCTCGTTTTCGGTAGTAGGTATTGAAGATCCGTAAAAAATTATGTTCTTCGAATTGTATTAGTAGCTCTCCTCTGGCGTTTCTAGTACCGATTCCATGATCTTCTACTGCCTGGTCTCCAGCCAGCTTGTTCCCTACATCGGCATTAAAGTCTCCCATCAGTATGGCATACTGTGTTTTTACCTTACTCATTGCCCATTTCATGTCTTCATAAAAGCTTTCAACTGAAGATTTATTATGGCTTGATGTAGGCGCGTATGCCTGTACCACCTTCAACTTGTATATTTTATTCAGTTTAATTTCGATACCTACCACCCTTTCATTAATGCTACAGTAGTCTTCTATATTGTCACCTATGTTTCTATAAATTAAGAACCCCACTGACAGCTCTCTTCTGTCAGCCAAGCCGCAATAGCACAAGACATGCCCATTCTGTAGGACCGTAAAGGCCTCATCTATCCTCCTAACCTCACTGAGCCCTATTATATCCCATTTAACACCCTCTAGCTCCTTGAATAGTACAGCTGGACTTCCCTCACAGGATAAGGTTCTAGCGTTAAACGTGGCCAAGTTCAGGTTCCAATGGCGGCCTGTCTGGATCTAGAGATTCTTAGCACCCTCTGCTGCGTTTCAGATCTGACAGCCGCCATGGTCAGTTGCTTCACAGCTGCTGGGGAATGAGGGCCGTGGGTTAATTGACGCGTGCATGTGGGATTTAGTGGGCAGAAACTGCACCAGGGTGGCCAATCCTTCTGTGGTGAGGGAGTGCGTTCCAGGCGGTAGTTACCTGTGAGGCCGCGCCCCAGGCCTCTTAGTGCAGTGCCATCATCACGCGGTTTTTTTATGCACTTGGGAGCTGCACGGCACCGGGATTTGAACCACGGACCTTTTGCATGCGAGGCAGATGCTCTAACCACCATGCCATCGCCGCAGGAGTGAGTTACAACCTAAACTGATATGAATAAAGTAGGCGGATAAGAACAATTTTTTTGATGATACCTAAAACAAAAACGTACGAATTGCGCCTCCGCTCCACTACTTGTGCGAGACGGGGGAATAAATAATTGAAAAAATGCGTACTTTATTAAAATATGTGACATTCATTAGTTAATTATGCACTCTTGATTCCCTTTTCTCGGCATTGATTCACTACCTTGCTTATTTTGATTGGCATTGCCTCCCTTAAGGTTCGCGGTAATGTAAATTCTTTTCTTTTATAATTTCTTTACATTATTTAAATGTGCTTTGATTTGTATGCCCCCAGATTGCTATAATTACTTACAATTGCACGGCACCAGATATTTAATACCATTTACCTTCACGAAGTTCTCAGGAACGGTAGTTGTCTAACAATGGCGCATGTAGGGCCTTTACCAGATTGTAATATAACAAGCATGTATATGCTATCAGTGCGCCTTTGGTATTCAGTGTGATTGTAATAGATATCATGTCACTGCTTTAGATAAACGTTACGAATGGCCAGGTTGCCCAGCCTTAAGCATGCCTTTGTGATATCAAAAATTGTTGTAGCACCCAAAGTGGGCCGGAAAAGGGCAGAAAACATGACAGTGAGAGCAGTATTTTCTATTCTTCGGGCTCAGTTCTAATTACACAGCTCTAATTTCTTTCTAACTAGCCCAAACCGCCGCTCTTTACGACAACCTTAAGAATTATACGTGATACAAGTCAGAGATGCAGTTTCACCGAACACGACAGATAAATCTTTTGCGACACTAAT